TTTTTTTTTTTTTGTACCGGGAACCAAACCCACAACCTTGAGCTTACCTGACAGGTGTGGTGCCACTGAGCTATATCGTCTGCCCTCTGACTTTTCCTGTCTTGCTAAGAACTTCTCTCAAAATTTTGCTACTCTCTGGGTCTCCCCGAGCACATATACTTCCTCTTAGCGCTTAGGGACTCACCCGGCCCTGCCCCCAGGCCCGGCCCCAGCCAGCCCGGCCAACCGAGGCGTGGTCACACACGTGTCCCCAGGGCACTGGGGCGGGGCGGAGCGGGGCGGGGCCACGGTAACCTCTCAGCAGGGACTGCCACAGCCGCTGACACCCCAGATACCTAGGCTTCGGGTAAGGGGATAGGCCTTACCCTTAGGGTTCCTGTGCCCTATTACCTGAGGGTTAAGCTGTGACGGGACCCCCGACCAGGGATACAGAGGGAGGGCTGGCTGGACAGCAGGGCCACTGACAGGCCAGAGCGGATGGGCGGGGGAGTGCTGTTTACAAGCCTGGCGCTTCCTCCTCCTGCCGACTGCTTCCAGTCCCCTTGGACCCTGCTTGTGCCCTGGCAGCTGGGCTGTGGACCCTCATCGCAGCAGTGTGGGCAGAGAGAGGGTGGGGGTCTGTGCTCAGCCCCAGGCACTCACCCTGTCCCTTCCCTGGGTTAGGACGGTGGCATGGAGCCCAGGAGCAGCCCGCTGACCACACATGTGCTGGACACCACCTCAGGGCTCCCAGCCCGGGGCCTCTGCCTCTGTTTGTCCCGGCTAGAGGACCCAGACCAGCAGTGGACAGTGCTGAGGGAAAGGTAGGAGGCACTGGGGCAGGGAGGGAAACCTCAGCATTTGCTCCCTGAGCAGGGCCCTTCCTCTCCCCAAGGGACACTAAGGGTGGAGCGCAGGCTGCCTGCTGCACACTGTCCCCCAGGCCTGGTTCACAGTCTGACTCCTTCCTACTAACTCTGAGCCGGTTTCCTCAAGTGAAAACGGATGAGCAGTCACCATTTCAGATGTGCACAAAGGCCCAAGGTTTGAGGGTGCAGCTCAGTCCCTCCCCACTCAGCCTTCACAAAAGCTGGAGGCCAGAGCCCAGGTCCCACCTCCAGGCAGCAGGGGGCCAAAGAGACCCATTTGCACCCTTGCCCTGCACTTGTGCCTCCCAGGCCCTCTCATCACAGTGGAGCACCTGATCAAAATGACAAGGGTTTTCCCGGAGGTGACAGATCATAACCGCTCAGGACCCTGGACAAGGGATCAGTCTGCCCCCCCCTCCCCCCACTTGGCCCCTCAACGCAGTGGGCAACAGGCAGCCATATAGATGGGGCCTGGGTAGTTACTGACCAAGAAGCCAGTCACAATAGACTATATGAAAAATACAGGTTGCCAGCCATGGGGGCATACACCTGTAATCCCAGCCCTCAGGAGGCTGAAGCAGGAGGATCATTGCGAGTTCGGGACCAACCTGGACTACAAAGTGAGCTCAAGGCCAGCCTGAACTGCATAGTGGCACCCTGTCTCAGAAAAACAAAAGAAAGAAGAAAGAAAGAAAGAGAGAGAGAGAAAGAAAGAAAAAGAAAATTAAGAAAGAAAGAAAGAGAGAGAAAAGAAAGATGCAGGTTAGGGTTAGCTGGACATGGTGGCACACACCTGTAATACCAGCACTCAGGGGGCTGAAGCAGGACAATTGCTTTAAGTTCAAGGCCAGCCTGAACTACATAACCAGACTCTCAAAAAATAAAAAAGCAGGTTATAAAACAGCAGAATTCATATAATCTATTTTTGTTTTCTACAAAAGTTTCTAATTAAACATACTTAAACATCAAGAAAAATCTACAAAAGTATATTGCCAAATATAGGGATTATTGCTCAGAGGGTACTGTGAAAGACACTTTCCCCGCGGGCTCTTCTGGATTGTGACTTTCTAAATAGGCAGGGCAGCAGTGTCCCTGAACACGCCCCCACCTCTGCGACCCATCTGCATCAGGCCGTGGGGGTGTCAGGGCCTCCAGGGTGCACACTACGGGGAGGGGCAGGCCAGTTCTTCCTCCCTTCTTTGCAGTCTTGTCTTCTCCCCAGCCACACAGATGCGGATGGCCGCTGCCCTGGCCTTCTGAGGCCTGGCCAGATGAAGCCAGGCACCTACAAGCTGTCATTCGACACTGAGGGGTACTGGAAGAAGATGGGGCAAGAGAGCTTCTACCCATACATAGAGGTGAGGGCTACCGATGCGGGGGAGGCTCCTGACACTGGCTGCCGGTTAGGTCCTGCAGGCCAGGCCTCACCCAGGCCGTGGGCAGACTGGTCCTACCTCTTCTTGGGTAGTGGCAGGCAGGTGAGCTCATCTGTTTTGAGCTCTCAGAAGAAAGGCATCCAGGGACCAGAGGCATCACTGGCCATCATGATGACATGTCCATGCCAGAGCTGCCCCTGGGTTAGCCTTTGGAAGCAGCCAGCCCAAGGGTGACTCACCCTCCTTTGTAGAGAGGTTTTCATCTCCGCCCAGACTGCAGCTCACTGAGCCTTCCCTACTGCCTCCCGTCACCTGGAGCTACCATCAAAGAACCTGGCCTTTTTCACATCCAGCAGGCCTGGGACTACAGCCTCCCTGGCGCTGTCTCCCGGGAGGCATGATGATCCCTCAGCCCCTAGGAGGGGTCCTGTCCCCCATCAAGCTCTTTGCTGACTCCATCCTACAGTCTGGGCTGCTAACACTCCCAGGAAGTACTGGGGCACAGCTTGGGTGCTGTAATCTCTCGCTGTTTTCCAATGCCATCTCTGCTTCTCCCAGGTTGTCTTCACCATCACAAATGAGACTCAGAAGTTCCACGTGCCCCTGCTGCTAAGCCCATGGTCCTACACCACCTACCGAGGAAGCTAGAGCCGACCAGGGAAGGCCATCTGCCCCACACGCAGTCTGGCCTAGCCCGCCCTGCCCTCAACAGAGTGGACTCCCCCCATCGTGGAGCACTGGGGTCACCAGCTTCCTGGAGGAGGTCCTCCCTGGCCCCTTGGAGTTTCTTGGCATGACCCAAGTGTCAATAAAGTCAGTGCTGGCATCTGCAAAGCTGCTCCTGGTGTTGGGCCAGGAACAATGCACTGCCCTGGACCAGAGTGACCAGGGGCCCTCTGAGAAGCCACTAAAGTCAGGAGCAGCCTGGGAGGAGTGGCCATAGCATAGGTCAGACACAAACCAAGGAGGGGCCAACCGTGATGCCCAGGGTGAGGTTCTGCAGACAGGTCTCCTCCACAGAAGCAGGCAAGAGAAAAACAAGCAAACCACGGAAAACTTCATTTGCTGATGATGAGCTCTAAAAAACAAAAACTTGCTGTCCTTGGTGGAAAAGGGTTATCAGCTGGACTATCAGCCAGGGTTATCAGCCAGGCAGGCTCTGCAGCACGCGACAGTCTGGCAGCTACGTTGGTGTAGCCACGAGTCCCGCAGGGCCCTGGCCCAGCGTCTGCCCGATCACAGCTGTCTCCAGAGGCTTGAAGCCCACATTGTCCAAGGGGATCCCGAAGGCTAGCAGCTTTGCCTCGTACGTGCGCAGCAGGTCATTATGGGCCTGTGGGGACAGGGCAGAGTCAGTGAGGAAGGAATCCACCTGGCCTGACACTGAGGCCAACATGTTCTGGCTCATGCAGAGCGAAGTTCCCGTCCATGGAGTGGGAGGGGTGGGTTGGAGCCAGCAGCGTGGTGTAAAAGAACAAAGCCAACATTTGTTAGTGGTTACCCATGTGCAGGCCCAGTGCTAACACCTGTACGAATGTGTATGAATTTGGGTGCTGAGGCCTAGGGTCCTGGCTCCTCCCTGGGCGTTTATCAGGGAGGCTCACTGCCCCTTCCCTAGCCCTGGTAGGCAGAGTACCCTCTGATGTCCCAGCAACTCTATCTTCACAGGTACAGGGCTGCCTGAGGGTGAGGTCATGCACACCAACCCAAAGAGACAAGGCCTGGGCAACAGCACTGGTGGGGCCAGCAGCAAGTGCCGTCTTAGCCACCATGCCAGGGGCTCCCTCCCCACCCCCACCGGAAATGCACATTCTCACAAAGGCCAGTTTCACTGGGTGTCTATAAAGGTTTCATGAACCGAGCAACCTGAGAGGGGCTTGTGGCAGGGCCTGACTCAGAGCAGTGCTCGAAGAGCTAGTTATCCTCCAGATGGTCAAAAAAGAGCCCGGGGCTCAGAACTAGCGTGAGCAGCATCGGGCTCCAGACAAAACTGGGGGACCCTTCTCTGGGGTCCAGATTCCCCCAGACTCAGATGAAAGTCACGGCTATCACCTGAAAAACTGCACATATAGCAAATGGCCCTCATTTTGTGCAGAAAAGTATCACCATCTAAGAAAAAGGGAGATGGGAAGACAGGAAGCTAGGGCCAGCCTGCAGCTTAGGGAAGGCTGAGGGACACAGTGATTGGCACCATGGAGCCTGGGAGCTATGGCAAGCACTGTCTGCATCCAGAGCTTCTGAGGTGCTGGGACCTCAAAAATGCAGGGCCTTGCAGATGCCAGGCAAGTGTTGTACCACTGAGCTACATCCCACAGTGTAATACTGTAATCCTAGCTACGTGGGAGATTGGGCCAGGAGGATCACAAGTTTTGGGGCAACTTACATTTTGTCTCAGAATTTTAAATTTTTTTAAAAAGGGCATGGAATGTAGTTCAGTTGTAGAGTGTCTCTGGGTTCAACCCCCAGCACTGCATTAAGAAAAACAGATGACAGGAATGTCTGAACACAGCCTCAAACACCAGTCCAAGGATGCAGTGTCCATCCACAGGAAAGGTGCCACTGGGTCACACTGTGGGATAGCTGCTCTCGGTAAAGCCTCCATGGCTCAGCACTGCAGAGCAAGGAGGAAGACCGTCTGGGACAGCTCAGGGCACAGCCCCACTCAGACACCAGGCAGACTCCAGATCGTGTGCCAGGCTGAGTGACTCTGGGGCTGCATGGCAGCCCAAAGACCACCGCAGGTAGGATGCAACAGGCTGAAGCTGAGCGCAAAGCTACAGCCATACCTTGCAGACCCGTGCCAGCTCATACTGCAGGTCCTTGATGGTGGTGTTCTTCGATTCCAAAACGTCCTACAGAGAGAGGAGGGGCAGCTTTGAGTCTTGCCTTTTGGCTAAGGCAGACAGGGTGGCTGGGGGTCTGGGGTCTCCCTTGGGGGTCCAAAGAAGCCCAGGGAATAATGGGCAGGCTCAACCCATACATCTGTTCACACAGGTGTGTCAGCCAGTAAAGGTCTCCCAGAGCCAACAGAAAAGGGCAGGCAGAGAGGGGAAACCAGAATGCACACTGTGCTGCTGCACCTCCACAGGGAGAAGTGGTCTGGGCCATAAGAAAGGACAGTGCAGCAGAGAGGGGCAGAGGGCCCGGACCTCCCAGGAGAGCACACTCATCACTAAACGCCACCCCGGGAACCATGTGACTACATTATCCCAATGTTCTTTTTATCTGAAAAGAAGCAGTCTGTAACTTTTAAAACTTTACCATGTTGCAGAGCATGGTGGCAGAGCCTATAATCCTAGCACTTGAGAGGCTGAGGCAGGGAGATTGCCATGAGTTTAAGGCTAGCCTGGGCCGCATAGTGAACTCAAGGCCAGCCTAAACTACAAAGTGAGACCTTGTCTCCAGAAAAACCAAATAAATAAATGAAACTTCACCACGCTGGCCCCAGTGTCATGGGCGAGTCTACATGGTTCAGCCTCTGGGATGCTTCCACCTTGTGAGGCTGCCAGGGCTCCTGTCTGAGGGGTGCTGCAGGAGCCAGACTGAGGACTGACACCAGGCCCGGCCCAGCTCCAGGGCCCAGAGAAGCCCCTCAACCCTCACCTGGCCAGCTTGAGAAGTGTCCCCAGGGGAGGACACTGTCACTTCCCTGCAAGGGTCCTTGCCCATAAATCAAGGCAGCAATAGCCAGGGCAGGACGGACTGACCGACAACCAGCCCAGACCCACGGCAACAGTGTGCCTGTGACTGAATCCCAGCCCCTTGGCAGGGTGGGGTCGGCCCGCCCTCCCGAGGAGCGCGGTGGCCCCTCCACTTTCTAACAGCACGACCTCACTCTCTACCTGCTTAGGATGAAGGCCCACAAGGAAAAGGACAGAGCCAAGCTGCCAATCCCAGGCCCCATGACTGCTGCCCCACCCTAGGCCCAAGATCTGTCCGTAAGTAACACTGGGCATCCTGGCTGGAAACACAGCGGTGTCACCTGGGACCCTCCCAGCCTGCTCAGCAGGGACAAGTCCTATTGGGTTGGCTTGTGACAGCTTGGGCCCACTGCTCCTTTCGCCCTGTGCTGGGTCTCCATCTAACGCAGAGGGGGCTCTCTCGCATCCACTCCTCTGTCCTGAACTTTCCATGACTCCCAACTGGCCTTGTACCTGGGATACAGAAGACAGGCCCTCTGCAATAGCCTTCTGCCCTGCACCCCCAGGCCTGGGTGTTCCCCAAGGTCAGAGAGGGGTTCTCAGGATATCTGGTGCTGTAGGCCTCAGCCAGGATGGGAAACCGGCAGAGTGGACAGCAGAGGGCAAGCCAGGCTAGAATGTTGTAGAGATTCAGTGACTGGACATAAACTAACCCTTTCGGCCTGCAGGCTCAGTGAGCAGAAGAGATTTACATTCAGCTGAACTATGCTGACAAATCACCCTGGAAACACTGCCTGTGCCCCATCGCACCCTCCCCTCCACAGCCCTGAGACAACAGGGCCAACAGATCAAGGACTGAAACCTCAAAAATCCTCAACAAAAATAAATCTTTCTTCCTTTAAAGAAAAAAAAAAAAAAAAAAAAAGACAGAAATCCTGCCTGTGGAACTCAGTAAAAACCCCTCTGCAGACAACAGGAAGCCTTAAGCTGCGGGCCCATGTCTGCCTCTGTGGCCAGCACAGCACAAGCAGCAGAGACAGACAGATATCCTCCTGCCAGAAGGGTCCCTCCTGGGACAAGCTGGCCTGATGGGACTTTAGGACCAGGTATTTCCAACCTGAGAGTGGCAGGCATGTCTAGGAGTCAGCACTGTCTGGCTCCAGGGGCCCTAGGAAGCCACACCCAGGCTACTGGACAGCAGCCACAGGCCTGGCAGCCACCAGTCACCCCAGCTGGCTGAGATTCCAGTGTCAGCCAAAGAGCTGACACACACTTTGTCACCTGTTTTTTCTGAAACTCTCCAGCACGGGGCAGAGCACAGGGACACAGTCCAGCGCCAGAAGCTCAACAAGCTAGTGACAGATGAGCTGTGAGATTGTATCCCAGGCTGCAGCTTCCCAATGCTTCAGCTGACCGAGTATGTCTGTCTCCCCAGGTGGCCAGTGGGGCCAAGACCGCCTCTGCTTTATTTACTGCTGTCCCCACCCAGGCCCAGAACTCTTCTAGCTGAGCATTGCCACACAGAGGAGCACATGCCTGGGCTCTGGACAGACCTCTCTCTCCATGGCACCCACAAATGCAGCAAGGACTCTGAGCCACCAGGGTGCCCACACCCTAACCCATCCCCCTAGGAACTGTCCCTGCCCCAAGCCAATGCATCTTGGGGGCTTCCAGGTGCCACCACCATCCCTGGCCTTGCTAGGCCTGGCCAGTGGCCGAGGAGCTCAGACCCAGAGTTCTGAGAGCCGCTTTTCCACACCCAGTCCATCCATGCCCAACCCTCAAGCCACTCTGGATAGCTGGAGAGCAGAGGCTTAAGGTCTAAAGGCTAAAGTAGGGCTGGGAAACCCAGGAGTACTCCGCAGCACCAAGAGAGGAAACTGCAGTGCACATGGCCTGCAGGACCCGCCAATCCCAGGCCCTCATGGGGAATAGAGAGCCCCTGTGCCTTCGCAGGTGCCGCAGGACAGGAGCCCACCCTGCATCTACCTCAAGCTTGCGAGACACAAGTGTCAGCGCAGCAGGGTCCAGGTTGGAAGCTGCCAGCACTTCATTGAACTGCACCTCCCTCTTCTCCACAGCAGCACTCAGCGCCTGCAGCTTGCGTTCCAGCAGCAGATTTTTAAAGCCGGTCTTCTGTTGCACCTCCTGGATGGCTGCCATGAATTTCCGGTACAGCTCATCCCGCTCCTGCTGCACCTGCAGGATGAGGCTGGAGTGAGTGACAAGGCCCCTCAACTGGAGATGTCTCCCTGGAGAGAAGCCACCTCCTGCCTCTTGTCCTGCTCAAGGCACACTGCTTCTGTGGACCTGGGAGGCACCTGGCCTTCTCAGAACAGGCCACAAGCTCCTGCCTTACAAAAGATGCATGAATCAAGAAGCAAACAGCGCAATTTCTAACCCAGAGACCACCCAGATCCCACAGCCTCACCTTGATGAAGCGCTGCTCCAGCACCTCATGTTCCCACTGCAGGTCCTTCAGTTCCTTCTCAGTAACCTTCAGGCGTGCTTTTGTGCTCTGGGGAGGAAATGGGATGGGGGCCAGGAAGCTCTCAGAGCTCAAATATGGGCTCCTGGGAGATGGCAAGACTAGAGGTACTCTCTAGGAGCAATGCATGCCGGGTAGCACGACGCAGAGAACGAGTCCTTGTCTCCTGCAGCACCGCCATGTGGCTGCCCCAGAGCAGTCCCAAGAGCAGAGAACCTGCCTCCCTGCCTCTCTCTTCCTGGCCTCAGGGCTGAGGCTGGCCAGGGCCTGGATGTCACCTGTGTGCTTCTCCCTGAGCCCGGGAAAGGAACTCAACAGGAAACTCACCACCAGGATCTGTTTGTCCCTTTCGTAGTTTCCAAGCTTCTTCTGCATCTCAGCCATCTCCTCCCTGGCCTTCTGGAGGGGCTCTGCCAGGCGCCTGTTCTGTGACGACACCTCCGCCATCTCCCGCTCAAGGTGCTCCTCCTTCTTGCGCATATCCTCCATCTGTTCCTGTGGTGCAGTGGGGTACAGAGGGGTTGGGGCCTGAGACAGGCAGGTCCCACCAGCCTCACCCACACTAGAACCTAGGCTTGCTTTGTGTGTGAACACATTTTTGTGTTTTTGGTACTGGGACTGAATCCAGGGCCTTCACACTAACCTATATCCTCAGCCCCCCTCCTCTTTTTAATTTTGAGGTAGGGTCCCATTAAGTCACTGAGTTGCTCGGGTTGGGATCAAATTTTCCATCCTCCTGCCTTAGCCTCCCAGAGTGCTGAGAATATGGTGTGTAACATCAGGCCCAGCATGTTTTTGTAGTCTTACCTTATTCTGAATTTTCTAGGACGCAGCAAACTGAGAGACTGTGCTCTCTTCAGAATCCCATTAAGGTCATTCTCTACTGCAGACAACGCTGCGCTGCCAGCATCCAAGGGACAGTGATAACTGACCACTCCGGCTGCAGTGGGCACATTGAGATGCCTCCCGCATCTCTGCCTAGGTGCTTCTGGTCAGAATCCCCTCAGTACTGTGCCTCCCCTCACACTCCCCACACTGACAGAAGCATCCGACCGCAGCTATGGGTGCAGACAGCTCCCAACTGGGGCAGCACAGGGGAACCATCCCTATTTTCATAGAAGGGCTGTGAGGCCTAGTGGGGCTGAGAGCTGGGTCTGTGTCCCCCAGGCTCTGCAGCCCATGTCAGGACAGCCACGCTGGTCTCCCAGAGCCCGTGTCAGCACCTTGAGCGAGTTGATGAGGGCCAGGTTGTTGAGTGTGATGTCGTTGTAGTAGTTCTTGATGTCGGTGAAGGCCTCTTCATGGCGCTGCATCAGTGTGTTGATCTGGCCATTCTTCCTCTCCTCCACTTCATGGATCTCAGTCTTTCTTCGCAGATCAAGCTCGTCCCTCAGCACCTTCATCTTCTTATCATACTTGGTCTCAATTTCTGAAAGGTGGCCGCACACAGAGCAGCTCAGCAGAGGAGGCACAAGTGACAGTGACTCCAAGCACAGAGGTACTCTACACAGAGCCTGGGAGCAACCACTGTGGCCAGAACGAAGGCTGCTCTGCCAGGACCAGCTGGGCTGAGGAAGAGTTCTTCCTGTGCTGCTCACAGATGACACACTTGCCCGCTGGACCACTGTCCTCCCTTGTTTGCCAGTGACGAGCACAGCACTGGATGCCTGCATGGGGCTCCCCTGTTGGCTGTCAGCTAAGCCCAGCGGTACCAGCCAAGGCCAGGCAGCTGTCCAGCCACAGGCAACAGCACCTGACTGGGGAACCAGACAGACTGAGACAGCCTTCTCCGGCCAGGAGCCAGGACTATTCCAAGAATGTTACACACAAGATGGAAGAGCCACTGCCCGCTCTCAACTCCTGACGCTAGACAGCAGTGAGGAAGTATGTGACATTCATAGCCTCTGGAACTGGCATGGGAATAGGTCACTTTGGGATTCCAAGTGGCCCACTGGCCTGAGGAACTTCCTCATTCTCTCTCAGCACCTGGGCTGTTTCATTTTGGCTGTGCACTGCGTTAACAGGTGTTCACGCAATTGCTTTCTGATAAGGGATCCCCACACTGTGCTACACAGTGTGCACGTGAGAGACTGACCTCGAACTTGCCTCTCAAAGTCATTCCGCATCTTGGTGATCTCCTCGGCGTGTTTCTGGACAGGCAAGAGGAGGAAGTTACTAGATACCACTCCCTTCAGGATGACCCTGTCCCTCACCCCTATCGTCCCTGTGAAGATACCAGCTCTGTGAACTTGTGCTCTTGCTGCTGGTTGCTGGGTTTCTCTCTCCTTTCATCTCTGAGCTCACAAAATGTGCCCAGAAGAACAGTATTGGTCACCTCCCCGCACACAGCTCACATCCCTCCCAAGGTTCTGAGTCCAAGAGACCTTCACACACGTGAGCCCCAGGCCAGAGGGCAGCAGCCGTGTCTACAGAGGCTACAGGCTCTCTCCACAGCCTCTTGCAAACCCACTTCATTGCCACTTAGGGCAGCATTCAAAATTTCTTTTAATCAACAATTATTACATGTTAAAATTTTGAACAAAAAAAATTAAATTATGTTACCCAAAGGAATGAATACTGAGCACGTAACAGCCCCACACCAGGCTTCGGATTCCTTAATTAATTTGAAATCAGCTATTCAGTGCGTCTCGGGACAACCAGATCACTCTGGAGGGCCCAGCCATCAGCAACCCCATGGTCCCCCACAGTGGGGCTGCCACTAGGTATCTTCCGGTGTCTGTTGGACTAGGTAGCTCCCAGGCATGAAGCCCACGTTCTGTTTCTCAACCCAGCAGCCCAGCCACTCAGGGGCTCTCCAGGCCATGCATCCAGCCATCCGGGCATCTTGTTCCTCCGGCCTCGCCACCAGCCCGTCCCTCTCCCTGGGCTGGCCTCCTTGAGTCTGGCCACCTAGCTCCATCCGGACTGTCCTTTGCCCAAATGTCACCTCAGTGAGGCAATCTTGGAACTCCTGCAGAAACCTGCAGCCTTTTCCCCCCGTCAGCTCCCAGCCCACCTCTCTGTTCCTCCTTTATGCTCATCCCCCTTGTGATACCGCAGGCACCGGATAGGCTGTTCTGTCTCAAGTGCCTTTTCTGTAGGGAGGCAGCCTGTCATGGGTCCTGTCAGCCCAACACTCAGCAAATGAGTTTCAGGCTCCACTTGGAAACTGCCAGCCTCTCTCAAGAGGGACCAATCCCAGCTCCAAGCAAGCCAGGTCCTCATGCGCCCCAACCACATGACAGTTCCTGCAGGGCCGAGGCCAAGTCACAGGACATCTGCAGGCTGGCTTTTCCACCAGTGTCTGACCCATTCCCTACGCAGAGTGTGCAGGGCCAGGCTCAGCAGCAAAATGAAAGGTCCTCTGCTGGGTTTTCCTTCAAGGACATCAAGAATTCTGCACTGGACCCTGAAATAGGGTTTGTTTGGCCATGGGCTTTTTTTTTTTGGTCTTTTTGAAACAGGGTCTCACTATGCAGTTCAGGCTGGCCTTGAGCTTACTTTGTAGCCCAGGTTGGCCTTGAACTTGAAACGATCCTCCTGGCTCAGCCTCCCACGTGCTGGGATTATAGGCCTGCACCACCATGCCTGGTTTTTCGTTTTTTTTTTTTTTTTAAGTATTCAATGAATTACAAAAATGCAGAAGTTTTTACCCAGAAACATGAATCCCCAGTTGTTGAATAATCAGGACTTCGGGCAGCACACCCATCCCCATGCCCTCCACACACCTGTCCCCATGCCCTCCACACACCTACCAGCCGCAAGTTTTTCACGACCACCTCACTGGCCAGCTCCTGCTCCTTGAGCTCCACCTTGAGCACCCGCATGTCCTTGCGCAGTGCACCCTCCTGTGTGCGGTGCTCTTTCTGGGCCAGCTTCATGGCTACGGTACCCTCAGTCTTCAGCTCCGTCAGGTTGTTCTGGTGCTCATACAGCAGATGCTTCACCTTCTGCTTGTACACCTGCAGGCAGAAAGGTGTACCTGTCACCCCGCATACCTGCCCCAAGAACAGAGCAGAACAGTGAGCAGCAGAGGAGGTGCATGCCACCTGGCTCACACGGTGACAGAGCCAGGCTGCAGGGAAGTCACTCTGCCCCTGTTCATACTCCCTCCACACCATGCAGGATCCCCAGGGCCTCCTATCACTGCAGGGATCCAGTTTCTTTTCCTCAGCCTTCCAGGTTCCAGCAAACAGATGAAAAGGGCTGTGATCCCCCCTAGAACAAGGAGAGAAAACGACCCCACGCCACCTGGCCCCTGTGCTGGGCCTTACACACATAGGCAGGCCAGCCTCACTCACCTTGATCTCCACCTGGTGCCTTTCCTCAGCCTCCTCCATCTCCCGGTCTTTGTTTCGCAGCTCAGCCTTCTTCTCCTCCAGCTGCCTCCGAGTTATCTCCCAGAATGTGTGGATCTTGTCCCGCTCCAGCTGGAAATAGTTGCGCTCCTCCCGCTCCCGGTCCAGCTCCTCCCGGATACGCATGATGTGCTCTTCCACCTGGCCAGGCGTGTAGGTCAGGGACCCCCACAGCCCCACCTGGCAGGGCCCTGGCAAGGGCAAGGGGTGTGGATGCAGGGAGAAAGCGAAAAGGGGGGCCGCCTTACCAAAACTAAATACAAAGTGAAAAATTAAAGCCTGTTGCCAGGAGGTTTCAGGGATGAGACACATGCAGTAAATGGCAGTAAATGGCAGTATTCTCTTGAATTTGACTGATAATCATAGAACATGTATATCTATTCAGTCATTCTTGGGAATTTATATTAAAGAAATTCCTCAAAAGAAATAAGAGCTTTTGACTTAAAGGTACTGATCTCACTTTTTTTTTTTTTTTTTTTTTTTTTTTTGGTACCGGGAATTGAACTCATGACCTTATGCTTGCCAAGCAGGTTCTTGTGCCACTGAGCTATATCCTGGGCCCTCATTTCACTAGTATTATATGAAAAACAACAAAAACACCTTTTGTACTGTAACTACAAAAAACTAAACATGAAGCTGGGCATGGGTCGCATACATTTAACGCTAGCACTCAGGAGGCTGAGGCAGGAGGTCTGCCTGGGCTTACATAGTGAGTTCAAGATTCTAGGCCAGCCTGAACTAAATGGTGACACCTTGTCTCAGAAACACCTCCCACAAAAAATAAAATTATGTAAGATAATTTTAAATAGGAAAACAGCTAAAAGTTACAGTATATCAACTAGAAGAAATATATATAAAAATAGATATAAAACTGATGTAGCAGCATGTAAACATCTCCAAAACATAAGTGAAAAAATACTCCCCTTTCAAGATAGAATGTTAAGCAAAAAATATACAAAACCAGTAGATGTCTAAAACGCAACATATTTTGGTCTAGAGCCAACTGCAAATCTGCAAATAGGCTAAAGAAGAAAGTAGGACAAGCGTCCAGCTTCCTGGGGACCTCATTTCTCTGAGAATAGTTATCTTTGGGCACAGCCCCAGGCCACTGACCATAAAGTTTCTTCTTTCCCAAAACCACATTCCCCACAGGGAAACCACCCTTCTCACTTCAAGAAAACAATTGCAGCCCGCGGCTCTGACACAGGATTTGGCAAGGGCTGGGGTCCCCCTGAGTGGACATGGCACCCCAAAATCTGAGTACCACCTCAGAAAAAATGACAACGTCTTCACAACACAACACTTCAGCACCACTGAGGCAAACAGCTGAAAACAGGATTCCTATCTGCTCTGGTTGGCTCATAGGGTGTTAGATTCTGTTACCACTAAATATTTAATTTCTTAACAATGTCCACATTTCTAGCTTCTCTTGAAAAATCAGAAAACATGCTACATGTGGTGGTACACACCTGTAATCCCAGCACTTGGGAAGCTGAGGCAGGATTGCTATGAGTTTAGCAACTGCCTGGGCTACATGATGAGTTTAAGGCCAGCCTGAACTGTATAGCCACACTGTGTCTCAAAGAAAAACACTGTTGTAGCTTGGGATTTTTTGCAAGGTGGACAATATAATATAGGACACATGTTTTATACAATTATTTATAATAGTCACCCAAAGAACCATATCCAAGAGAGTGCAGGAAATCTGTCCACACACTAAAGACCAAAGAATCTTAACCAGCTGTGGGTCTGGATCCCACGATAATGTCCTGCATGAGTCCAGCTGAAGACCTAGAGCTCCTAACAATGCCTCCCACGAGTCCAACTGGAAGCCCAGAGCCCATAACCATATCTCATGAAGTCCTTCTTCCCCGCAGAAACCTCCCGAGCTTGGTCTTTACCAGCAGGTCTTTATCAGCCTTCTGGTCTTCTGAGCTCTGACCAGAATATTCCATACACAATGGCCGAAGGCATTGTAGCCACTCCTCTTTCAGGCGACATCTCTGAGCCTTTCCAAACTCTTCGCACAAGCATCATCCACATGGCACTGGTTCTAGGTGCATGCAGAATGCAAGAGTTCTGAGGTTAAGAAGGCTTCCACCTAGATGTCAGAAGGCCTGGGAGGTCAGGCAATGTGCCCTTAAGAGGGCAGTGTGTGAAGCTGTGAGTGAGAATCCTAAAGTACAGTGGCGACCTCAGAAGGTTGGAAAAGCCAGAAACGTGGATTGACTGAGGAAAGCTGCAATGAGGGAGCAAAGCAGGCCCAAGAGGGAAACCTTAGGAGCTATAACCACCAGAAGTGCCCTAGGGGCTAAGTCACACAAGCCCTTTGGAGCTCACAATTTATCACAGATTGCTTCAGATGTTCCACATGGAACTACAGGACTTAATGTTTACCCTGCTGGACATTGGACTTGCTTTGGTCCCACTGCTCTATATCCCCGTTTGTACATTTTGGAAAGCAGCTATGTTCACCGCTATATCACCAACACAAGCTGTTTGTACCTTTCGGAATGGTAATGTCTGTCTTGTGCCACTGAATGTTGGAAGTGTTTAACAGGGCTCATAACTTAGAGTTTGCCTTAAATCTCAGAGGAGACTTGGGACTTGGACTCTTCAACAGTGCTGAAACTGTTAGGACTTTGGCAGCTCTTAGAGATGGACTAAAATGTCTTTTGCATAAAGGGATCAACATGACTCTTGTGGGGGCCAGGGGTGGAATGTTATGGTTTGTGTCTGGATGTCCCACCAAAGCCTCATGCAGTCATGGGTGCAAGTTTGTAGCATGTATGATTGATCCATGGCCCAATGCTGAGATTATGGGTGTGAGTGCTACCTCCACCCTGGGGTGGGTAGTCTGCATGCAATATAAAGGAGGGAAAGAGGCTTGCTCTTCCCGCTGCCACTCCTCCCTTTTTGCTCTTGTTGCTTTTGCTGTCTTCCACTGCCATGAACTGTTGCCCTTTGCAATGTGCCATTCTTCCTTGGAGCCAGCTGAGTATGGACTGAAACTTCCACAGACTGTGAGCTAAATAAACCTTTTCTTCCTTAATTTGGGCACTGGGTATTTTGTCTCAGCAACGAGAGAAAAGTAACCAAGACAAAGACAAAACAAGACAAATCTGAAAACCAAGAGCACTAGAATCCAACGTCCTCAGGGCAAAAGCCTGGTGAACCTGTCCTGTGCAGGGGCCTGAGTTTCCAGGTTATCTGCATCCTCACCCTCCTGCTGAACCCACAAGCTTCTGAGCTGGTGCCTCAACCGTCCAGTGTGCAGCAGCAGCCCCAGCTCTGCAGACGCAGAATACTCAACCACTGCCACATCAAAGTTCCAGCTCCTCAGGGATGGAAAGCAACCAGGTACAAATAACAGCTCACGTACTGGGCAGTCCCACACTCCATCTGATCTCCACCCTGATTATCACCCTAGTGTCAAAACCTCCCCTCTGGTGGAACAGCCCTGAGTTTCTTGTATGTGAATAAAGCACGATGATGACTGCGCAAAGGCCTACCCTCAGCTCCAACTCTGGCTCACAGGACTCTTTCCACGTTTATATATATATATATATATATATATATATATATATATATATATACATTTTTATTTTCAAAAGAAAAAGACCTGTCCCACCCACCTCTGGGTGGGACTTTTGTCCACAACAATAAATACTCTAGGGGCTAGGGTTCTACCTCAGCAGCACAAGTGCCTGCTTGGCAAGTGCAAGGTCCTAAGTTTGATTCCCAGCACAAAAAAACAAAAAAAAACAATAAATAACTTAATCATATTGAGACAATGGTTTTAGGTAAATCATGCTCCTTTCAAAAACTTTCTTAAAAATCTTTTTGAGACAGGGTCTCACTATGCAGTTCAAGCTGGCCTTGAGCTCACTTTATACCCCAGGCTGGTCTTGAACTTGCAGCAATCCTCCTGCCTCAGCCTCCCGAGTGCTGGAATTACAGGTGTGCACCACCACACCAGGCTTTTTAAAAACTTTCTTTTTGCTATAATATGTAATAGTGAATAAGGAAGTGTGCTGTACATGTGTGTAACATAATAACAGCTCTGTGAACATCAGGTATATAACAGGATAAGATTAAAAAGAACACAGAAAGTTAAAAATAGCTATTATATCAGAAAGACATTTTCTTCCAAATTCCTACCACCCCATTAGAAGGTTCTTTAATGTGGATGGCTTTGGGGGTTGTTTTTTTGTTTGTTTTGCTTTTTTGCTGAGGGTGTGTGCTACGGATTCAACCCAGAGCTTGACATGAGAGACAAGCACTCTACCACTGAGCTACATCCCTAGTCCTTTGTTGGGTTTTGTTTTTGAAACAGTAAGTTGCCCAGGCTGGCTTTCATCTTGCATTTCTTCCTGCCTGAGCATTCCAAGTAGCTAACATTACAAGTATGCACCACTGTGCCCCACTTTACACTTTTTAAAATATGTAGTGCATGTGAAAGCTGGAGCCGATGGAAACCATGAACATGGGGCCTGATAATTGGTTTGGACAGAACAGAAGGGTTCAGACCAAGGGAGGAAGGGTGGCAACGGCAAAATGCCCACCAAGACAGCTAGGGCAACACCACCCACCCTGAGAATGGATAGCACAGGCCCTGCTCACCTGCTCCTTGCTCATGTCCTCTGGAGCAAGCCCATCCACGACTGGGGTACCTTTGGGTTTACCTTTCTTGCCTTTCTTCTTGGGTGCCTTGTGTTGAAGAAAAATTAGTGGGTAAGTTAAATAATTCTGCCAAGTGGTTGCCCCTTCTTGGACAGCTCTTATCTGCTCCCACAGGCATGGGGAGGGCCCATCTGGAAGCTTTCCCCCTTGCTCCCTCTCTCATGCCCCCGAGCACATCACTCTGCCCTGCATGCTCCAACATCACCCACACATCCTGCTGACACACCTGGAGAAGTCCAAAGTGTAAGCTGTGCTTCCCGGAAAAAGGCACTGCCTCCCTGTGAAGGGGAGGAACTTGTTCCAAACCTACTCACTCTTTGGTGTATGGCCAAGGCTGTACCAACTCTAAGAATGCAAATTTACTTGGGCTCAAAAATGAGGACCCTTGTGCTCGCTTCAGCAGCACATATACTAAAAATGAGGACCCTCAGGGAAGTTGATTGGGGAAGAAGTTATGGAATCAGCAATTATCAATATATGCTATGTATATACACCAATTCTTCAAAATAAATGTAAATACTATGTATTACAAACTACACTAATACTTTAATCTACAAAAATAAAAAAAATTTAAGTACAAAAGGGGGATAATCCCAGCACTTGGGAGGCTGAGGCAGGAGGATCTCCATGAGTTCAAGCCCAACCTGGGCTACATAATTCAAGGCCAGTCTGAACTACATAGTGAGATCCTGTCTCAAAAAAGACAGAGAGGGAGAGAGAGGACCTCCCCCAATATGACACTGCCAAATGTTACCATGTTGGCTATAGTGCTTAGTAACCACCATGGAAAAAAACTTCAAGAAACTGGTTCGACAGATGTAAGAAGAAATGAGTTCACCACAATGGCCTCCTCCACAACAGGAGGCCTCCTTCCAAATACTGTATAAATGAACTTCTTTTTTTTTTTTGAGACCTGGTCTCGCTCTGTAATTCAGGCTGGCCTCAAACTCACAGCAATCTTCCTGGCTCAGCCTCCTGAGTACTAGGATTACAGGCATGCACCATCACATCAAGCCAAAACTCCTTCAGAGAAGCCTGTCACAAAAGACTGACCACCGTGGGTGCTCTGTAAATGAGTTACCAGACAGAAATATTCTTCAGGAAAAAAGACATCACCCACATTCCCACATGCTGCAGATAAGTACAAGTACTTGGTGGGGGGTTTTGTCTGTTTGTTGTTCTATGTTTAGAGATAGGATCTCCTTATAAAGTTCCAGCTGGCCTGGCCTTGAACTGGTGATTCTCCTGCCTCAGCCTCCTGAGTGCTGGAATTACAAAGTGTGCCCCCCACCACCTAGATGGGGTTTTTTGGTTGGTTGGCTGGGTTTGTTTTATTTTGTTTTGTTGGTGCCAGGAATTGAACTCAGGACCTTGCACTTGCCAATGGCTGTTGTTTTTATTACTAGTTGCTTTTCAGAAGATTCATCCACTGAAACTGTAACTATTGAAGCCTTGCTCCTTTTAACCCCTCTGCTTCAAAGACACATCATGGAACCATCATAAAGGGCTTGGAGGAAGCAGAGCTTGGCAGGACCTCCGGAGCTCCTTGGCCGGGGGCAAGTCCCCACCCGCTGATCCCCACCACCCTGCACCACTCTAGGAACCCAATTAGAACAACTCCGGTATTCTGTTGAGGAGGTCTCACCCCTGGAGAAAAGTCGAGGAGGAGGACAGCTCCCACCTCGCCTTAGGTCGGTCTCCGCAAAGCTGTCCATGGGGTAGCGGGCTTGCACCCAAAGCGGCACCCTGGACCCTGTGCCAGGGCTCCCTGGAGGAAAGGGGTCCACTGGCCAGCGCAGTGTGCCCTGGACTCTCCATCCCAAGCTCCTCCATGGGGACCCTCGTGTACCCAGAGCCCTCCAGCTGAGAGCCCGGGATCCAGGAGCAGAGAGACCCAGGCTCTCTCTTTGGGACTGCTTGCTCCCCACGCCTGGATCTGCACGAATTGCAGGACCATCCCATACACAGCCCAGGTTTCAGTTCCGCTGAGTGCGGGCCTGGGCCGGGGAGCGCATCCGAGCCCCAGCTGAGGAAGCCGGAGCTCAGTGGGCCCGCGTCGGGCTCTGTGTGCGCACCCCTCCCGCAACACGGGTCTCCCTACCAGGAAGGCCCGGAGCACCCGCCTCCCTGCCCCGAGGTCTCCGCGTGCACGGCCCTGGCCCCGGCCGGAGGTCCCCGCCTCACCATGACGCCGAGACAGGACCAGAGCCCAACTCGCTTTGCCTGCTCAAGCTGCGCGCTGTCTCCCGGCAACCGAGCGGGGGCGATCTCACGCGAAGTCTCGGAGATCCTCGCGAGATGCTACCGCCACCCGGAAGGAGCCGAGGATTGTGCTAGCCGGTGAGATAGTACTGGCACCCCGTTGTCCCTAAAACGCTTGATCTCCCCCGACTGCCCTAAAGGCCACTCATGTAGAGCCAGGGGTGGCGCACGCCTGTAATCCCAGCAGTCGAAGGCTGAGGCAGGAGGATCGCCATGAGACCCTGTCTCAAAGGATTAGGGCATTAGTCTATTGTTGGGTTCCCGCACTAGAATTTAGGCACCGTGAGGGAGAACTGCTTCATTTACTTCTGTCCAACCCCCGGAACAGAGCAAACAACAGCCAGAGGTGTACTGCAGGCGACTGAGTAAAGCTTCGTCTGTGTTTACAACCTGTCCCGCTCCTCGCAGAACCGCCCGAGCTCCGCCTCCCGTGAAATCAGAGGCGGTGTTAAACACAGTACAGCGCGGACCCTACTGAGAAATGCGCATGCAGGGGATCTAGGCTGCGCAGTAGGCGAAAAAACTGTCTTCCAAGAAACGGGTCCTTGGTCCCAAAAAGGTTGGGGACAGTGCTACGCAGATGCTCAGTCAATAAAGTTGAGTTGATGAATGAGAGAGGAGATGAATGAATGAATGAATGAATGAATGAATGAATGAATGAATGAATGAATGATCAGTCGGCCACCCAAAGCTCATTCAGTTTTGGTGGAAAGTCTGCCTGTGACTCAACAATCTCGCAACCCTTGGAAGGCCCTTCCTACCTTCTCTTCTGCTGCAGCAAGAATAGCATAGCTGGGTTTCCAGAAACCCTCAGGGAAACGAACAAATAGAAAGACAACTCAGTTTCCACTTGACTCCAGAGTGTTGAACTGTCACTTCAGAAGGAATTGTCCCCTTCAAAAAGCAAACTGCCTTGCCTGAAGAGAGCTCCTCTGCAGCCCCATCCACGCTCCACTAGAGGCTTCCACGGTTTTCTGGTTTTGGTTTTGTTGGTACTGGGAATCAAACTCAGGACCTTGCACTTGCCAGGCAGGCACTTGTACACTGAGCTATATTCCCAGCCCATGCACAGAGTCTTTCAGACAAGCACTGGAAAAGCAGGCTGTCACTTCCTTTCCTAACAACTTGCTCTGGAAACTGCTATTTTACATTTTCCAAGGTGAATTTCCAATCCCTGCAACCACCTATGGCCTACACACAAGGAGGTGCCAGTCTCTGTGCACCCCTTATTGTTTTGCTTTTTCTGAAGTTCCCAATTTTACCATCGTCTTAAAAAGTGGTCTCAGAGCAGGCGTTGCTTCCCTATGATTTTGGGATGAAGACTGTTTGGGGACAAAGTGTAACGAAGCAAGGCTCAGGAGTTCCTACCTAGCCATGATAGCCGACCTTGCTTGGTGGTGGGGGTCTGAGTTTCACCGAGAGGGTGCCTCCTGTTTACCACCCAAACTCTGTGTTCTTGGAGAGCAAAGGCTGCTTGGAGGGATCACTGACTCAGGGAGCACAGAGCCCTAGCATGATTTATTTTTAGTAAGCCCCAAGGGCTTTGTCAAGTCTGGCCCAGTTGCTGAGGCTAGGCAACCAGGAGGCCTCTGTTTGCCTGACAGAGGCCTCCTTGCCACAGCTGGAGTGGCAGTGGGGGTCCCCCACAGGAGGTTTGGCAAGGCAAACAGTGCAGCCGGGCAGCACAGTGGGGTAATTATTATTATTAACACAACAGATGCAACATCCTAGGTGCTCCATGCTGATTGGCTTTTTGCTTTACCAATCTGGCAAGGATAAACTAAATAAATACAGTAACAATAACTCCTTTCAGCAAACAGGGCAACAGTAGAAGGGTTAGCTCAGAACAGCCTAGACTGGGTATTCATTTATCACAAATCACAGTGTGGCTTATCACTGTGGACTGTAGAGATGAATGGTTTAGGGAGCCCTGGCTGCAGACTCCCTGGGCTCCCAACAAGGCCAGCTGTGATGTATGCTTTTCAGATTGAATTTGAGTTATTTTTAGAAGAGTCTTTTCTACACATGTGTGGCTTAAGAAACTTTTATTCAGCATCACACTGTGCAGCTCAGAAACTCAGACAACTGACATTCCAGCTTCCTGCAAAACCTCTAAGCAAATGTTAATACGTAAAAACCAACTGAGCATTTTGTCTAATGTTTGACTTCCTAAAACAATGACTTGTTCTTTCAGGTAAAATCCCTCAGGAGTGCCTTAACTCACTGAAGTTCCAGATGTAAGGGTAACAGGACTGGATGTTGTTTTAAAGATAAGTAATAGCCAGGCATGGTGATACATGCCTGTAATCCCAGCACTTGGGAGGCTGAGACAGGAGGATCACTGCGAGTTCAAGGCTAGTCTGGGCTACAAAGTGAGTTCAAGGCCAGCCTGAACTGCAGCGCAAGATCCTGTCTCAAAAAAAAAGTAAATAATGAAGCATTTTAAAAGGAAATGACATTTTTTAAATGAGGAGGGGAGGAGGGGTTGAAGGGAGAGTAGGGGAATGGAGCAAAAAAAAAAAAAAAAAACCCAAGTTATATCATGTACAGGTTCAAATTCTCTATGATGAATGTGCTAGATATATAAAATATACCAATGAAATCTAATTTTTAAAAAAAGGAAAGGACAGATGTGTATAAAATTTGCTTCAAAACAATCCAGCAGCAGGGAGGTATCTAAGGACAAAGACCAGATATGAGTTCAAGGTTGTTGGGTCAGGGTGACAGGTGGGTTCATCATGCCATTGTCTCCATGTGTGACTTTAAGAATGTCCATCTCAAAAAGTCAAAGAAAAAACAGACACTGGCTTCAGGAGTCAGATTGCCTGTTGATGACCAGTTGGAAAACTTTTAACAAAAGTCCCTCTGTGTCATTTATTTATCTCTCAAATGGGAATCACTGTCAAACAACTATCATTACAGATACTTTGGATATGTCAAAGGAACCCTAAAATGCAGGGGCTTAGTACATGACCTTGATGTGTGTTTTGCTCATGAATCTGCAACGTAGCCATGACTTTGTGGGACTCATCACCCTCACTCACACCCTTCTCCCTCCCTTGTGAGGCTGGCTGCCACCAGGCCCTCAGGGCACCACCAGCCAGAGCACAAGCAGGCAGCCTCTCACTGGCGTGGGTGTCCTTCCCACATGGTAGTTGGTCATGTCCTCTTGGGGAGCCACACAACATTACATCTACCACATGTTATTCACCCTGACATCGCTCAAGCAGAGGTGTCTTGATGGAAGTGGAAGATTCTGGAAGGAATAATGCTGTGGCCTTTTTTCTTAACTGCTGTACTTACTTGGGGAAAACACAGCCTGCCACCCCCCACCACCACCACCAACTGAGAGTGGCTCCCATGTATCACCTACTATGGGGGTCACTGGTCTGCTCTGTCCCCAACAGCTACTCTGCAGCACAGCTTCCTCCCTAGCAAAGACATTCTTGCCTTGGCTGGCACTAGGGGGGCAGGCAGCTCAGGTCGTCCTAGGGAAAGCACGTTCAAGGGCTTTCCATAGCAGTGGGGTTTGGTTCATAAGCCAAATTTAAAAGGAAACGATTAGTCTGCCTTTAGGCTCAAAGGCCAAAGGCTACTGGTGTGCCTGGAGCTGGGCAGGAAGCAGGGCTTGCAGCCTGACTGGTTGCGGCAGCTGTTTGGACAGTGCTCCTCTGAGCCTTCCCTACAGTTGTGTGCATTCTCCTTTCACTAACACCGTTTCCACTGCCATAGTACAAACCCTTCCTCCCCGACGGTTCTGTTTTGTTTCTGTCAAGGTGCAAAGCATGAGCTGGGTTGGTCCTTCCGACTTCTAGCCCAAGGTGTGCCCTTCTGAGCAGGTTCCCAAGCAGGTTGCCATCCCTGTCTTCAGCTTCTTTGCCTGGAAAATCAGAACGCCTCCTTCCTGGAAAGACAGAAGTCATGAGATATGTGCAAAACGAACTTGGCACAGGTTGGTTGCACCAGCACACGCCAGCTATCCCAGCCACTCCAGACTGTGGCAAGAGGGTGACAAGCCTGGGCAACTTAGTGAGACCCTGTTCAGAACTGTAAAAAAAGTGTGGGAGAGTTGCTGGGGATGTAGCTCAGCGTTCCGTGGTTCAATCCTCGGCGGTGAGGGAGGGGGATAGATTGGCATACTGAGCCCGCCAGAGCCTGCCCACTTCTGGGGGCGCCAGGCAGGCCTAGCGCTGAGCCATCTTGTGGCTCAACTTGCCTAGGCCCAGCCTCCCCGCGCCCCCGCCTCGCCGCTGAACATCTAGGCCCCGTGCGGCCCCCTCCGTGCAGATTCGCTGAGTGGCCATGACCGGCAGTGCAAGCCCGTGCTCAGCAGGCCTGAGGGTGCGGGAGCGGTCGCGGCCCCTTGCAGCCCTTACATCGCGGGAGCCTGGACCAGGGCGCACACCTCGGGGTGCCAGGCCTGGGAAGGGTCTGCGGGCCCGGGCCGGCAGGGGGCGCGCGCGGGCAGGGCGGGG